TCTAAGGAAATTAATTAGGAAGCTTGTGATTTCTAGGAAATTAGTTGTAGTGTTCTCCCAAAAGATTGTTCTGGGAAAAGGTGATTTTTTATGGAAATTTAGTAAAAGGTTGATCTATTTGGCCGAAGGCTCTTTTATTTTGCAAAGGAATTTATTTCTTAGAAACTTCATCTTGCACGAAGGTTCCTTTGTGTTTTGGTGAACTTCGATGGGTCAATTGGTGAAACTTAGTGCTTTCAATTAGTCTCAACTTAGTGCTCTTTATCAAATGTTCTTTGCCCCTTGGACTTTGGAAGGGATTTATTTGAAGTCTTCACAGTTGGTGATAGGAATGGTTGTTTAAGATGTAGCAAAGGCATAATTGGTTTTAAGATAATTCATTGATGAAATGGTCATTTTTGTTCTACCCAAGATTGGAAGAATATTCACAAGCAATATGTGGAGTAATTGAGTAGGCTCCACCGGTTGTTATATTCAATTTCTGCCTTGATAGTATTATGTTCATCGTTTGGAGCCTTCCTAGATATCTTTCTTATCAATGCCCAGTTCTCCTTGTTGATGAATCTGCTGATAGTGGTTTTGCTTCAATTCAATTTTATGATGTTGAGATTTTATGAGCGAAGAGGTTTTTTTTTTTTGGATGAGTGTCGTGCCTTTATTAATTAGAAAGCAATAGAGTTAGGCATGGAAACTTCAAACTTAAGAGATTATTTTGGAAGGACTTGTCCATATTAGAAGACTTTGCTGGACAACTGCTCTGTCGCTATTGCCTTTTTTTTCAGTGGATTGCTCCATTAAGGCCTTTTGGTGCTCATCTTGAGTTTAGTCTGTTGGTGTTCTATTACTTTGGTTAGCTGCAAAAGTCTTGAGTTTAGGGGTGTAGTTGTGTTTTTGGGTGTATTCATTTTAATGTTTTGGTAGTGTTGTCTTGCCAACTTCGTTTAGCTTGGTTTGGGATTCTTACTTGATTTGCTTGGGGCATATTCTAACTTAGAATGTGCTTATTAAGCAATTATATTTTTTCTTGAATTTCTCGATGTAATTTGTTGTACTTCTTGTACTACATAATTCATCAGTAAACTTTTATTTTGCCGATAAAAAAAAAAGAAGGAAGTGTGCTTAGTGCTTTGTAGTACTTAACAATTACAAGGTCAAATTTGGCTTTTGCAGTTAATCATACTTGTCAATTTATGCAGAATCCAACAAATGGACATTTTGGTACTTATATGCTTTCCATTTGGACCTGTTTTAATTCTTGGATGCCTTTGTGGTATTCCCAATGAAGAGATCGAGAAAGACCACCTTTTTGATGGCCAAAAAAAGATGATTTCAATTGAAAAAGGCTTGAACACCCTTTCCCAACCCTTTTTTTTATTTTTTATCTCTCAAAGACTTAAAATTTCATTTTTGACCCTTAGAAGCTCAAAATACATAACAAAACCCTAAAGTCACAAGTTTTTCTCAGAATGATGCTCGTATACTGAGTTTTGACCAACATGGTGCAAACTAGACTAAGTACGGCATATACCGCACTAACTTTTGTATACTACACTGAGTTTCGGTTGTGTAAAAAAAAAAAAAGTGTTTAGGTTAAGGAGATATCATTAATGAGTTCTTTGGTCAATAGTCTAGTAAGATTCCAGGAAAGATCAAAGTAGTCAATATAGCCTCCCTTCGATGTTCAATCTCCTTAGATAATAAACCTATCTTTTTCACAAATCTCACAAGGTCTCAACCAGTAGATGGAAAGGTTGAAATTTAGAAGTACAAATATATATGAATATATATAAGTAGGTGAATAATTACGAAGTCATACTTAGCCATAGACCAGAAGTTCCATTATATTTCCAAAAGAATAATACAATTTGGAATGAACTTTAAACAAAAGGACACTCTACTAATGTCTACAATAGCCAATAATCTTCGAAAGTTTCTGGCTCTCCTTCATCTTGGTAGGTCTTCGTGATATTTGGCATGAAACGCCATGAGTTTGGAATGCTCAGTAAACACATACACACCCCATCTCATTTTATAATCCAATACACAATAATAATATGATCATAATATATAGTGGAAGTAATAATCAAGCAAAGCTTAAATTAAATTTCAGTTCTCAAGAATAACAGTCAATCAAGTTAATTTTAGGCAATTCCCTGCGAAATGTTGTTCCTACCCAACCACTCACATTGGCCACGGGCAATTCTGACTCCCCATTGATTAAACAAATACCAATGCGCCGCATATCGCACTATTACCAATGATGCCCATGCACCTAGGTTACATACCCGAGTAGTGACATTATGGTCTACCACAAGGGAACGGGCTTCTAGGGATACTCTCCCTGTGTGAGACCTTCACTGCCACCCTTATACCTCCCAATTCCGTTAAGCAGCTAGAATACCTCTTGTGCCACGTTAGGGTTTGAAAACACACTTGTGTAATACTTAACTCCCGAATAGGGAACACATCCTACCAATCAATAATTGAAATCAACAAGTTATTATCTTATAAGATTTATCTTAGTGATCGAAAATCTGATACCATTCTTTTTAATTCCCATTGAATTAGATAAATTTGGTTAAGGCTAGCGCATGCCATGAGACAATAATTCATGAACAATATCATAGCATCATTATTATGAAAAATAATTGCAACACATGTAGATAGTCATACTAAGGCATGAACAAATGGCTACAAGCATATTCATGAAACTAGAACTATGAGCTCACTAATAAAGTAAATTTCCAAATTTGGTACTTTCTGAAGAGACATATGCATATTTTTCCTGAACTTGGCCTCCTTATGGTGTGTAGAGAATTTTGTCTAGTTTTCGGAGCATATTTTAGAATTTGAATACCTTTCCTAGATTTTTATTTATTTGAGAAATACACCAGAGCTGTCTTGGTTTTTCTGCTGTTACGAAAAACGGATTTTCTCTCAAACCACTCACTCTTTTTCAATAAAACCTTTTTTCCATGGAAACTAACACTTAAAGGAAGATTTGGACATAAAAATGAGGTCAAGGAGATTTTTCTGTATTTTTCTAGAATTTTTGAAAGTAGGCTGTAAAAATCTATCTTCTTGCACAATATTAAATATAAGAAGGTTTGAGTGAAAAGAAGGCGACTTAGGGAAATTTCTCACTTCCTATGAGATTAAAACACGTTAAATAATGTACTTAGATTTTTAGAGTGATGGTTTGCCTTTGAACTAGTGTGAGATATGGAGAGAAAAAGATAGCTTTCATCCCTTGAGTGAGAATACCAGTAGGAGAAGACTCAAGGCTCAACCCATCCATTTCACACACAGGAACAACAGAATATCAGAACTGGAATGATAGTAACGGTCCTCTAGAACTATGTATTTGAATAAGAAAATAGAAGAGGAGATTGTGTTGTGGCTTACATGAATTTTTATGAAATGGTGGCACAAGATTTTCCTTCTATCTTCCCTTCCTTCACCACCAAAGCTTTTTCTATTACTCTCTTTTCCTTTCAGCTGTGGGTGAATGTGGTGTATGAGTGTTTTCTTTTTTTCCAAAATGTGGAGGGAGAGTGACGTATTTATAGGTTTCACAAGCTTACTCTACGATTTTCCCAAGCTTCCTTCAAAATCTATGTTTAAAGCTTCCTCAAAAATCTATGTTCAAAGCTTCTCTGAGAATCCATGTCGAAGGCATCCCTAAGAATCCATGTTCAAAGCTTTCCTAAGAATCCATGACCAAAGTTTACAAGTTTAAACATATATATATATATTATGGTACTACTTGGGGTCCAAGTATAATTTCACTAAATTATGAGGGCTAGGGCTTAATTTTATTATTTGAAACATTTACTTAAGTGTAGTATTTAATTGGATTAGGATTTGAAAGTGTAATTCGGTTAAAGTTTCTCCGTTTCGAATTAAACGACGAATGTAATGAGAACCAGAAATCTAGGATTTCAGTTGGCCAATCCTTAATCAAAAAGTTAATTAATTATCATTAAGGTATTAGAAATGATCCCTAAGTTATCGGAATTGATTAGGGTTTGCACGTTTTTGATCGGTGGTCACTTCCAATTTTAGGGTTAAAATTGCAAGAGAACAAGAATTCGAGAGCTTTCATTGAAATAATTCTAAAATAAGGGTTTAGAAGAAATTACAAAAGTCAAGGGCCTCACACATACCGCACTAAGTTCTGTATGCTACACTGAGTTTTGGGCATGCTTTATGACATGGCACGGGTCGTACTGTCGCGATATGGCATGTGCCATAATGTGATATGTCATGCTCCATATCGTGTCAACACAAAATGGTGGGTGTCATATCATGATATGATAGGCACCATATCGTGACTAGTGTGTGCCATTCTGCAACTGTACTTGCACATTGGTTCAAGATTTGTCTAGTTGACTTTCGTCACCATCTCTGACCTTTTGACTCTATAAATAGAGGCCTCTTTTTAGTTGGGAGGAGAGAGGAATCATAGAGAAAGCTTTGAGAAACACTAGAGCTAAGAATTGGTAAGGGAAGGAATTCTCAATTCTTTTCATCTTGCTAAAGTCTTGTGTAAATATCTTCTCAAACCTCTGAAATCATCTATATCCCAGCCCCTAAATCAGTAATTAAACACCCTACAACTCCCAAACATTGAAAATCTTGTTCAAATCTTCAAATCAAGCTAGTCATCTTCAAGTAAAAATTCATAACCGAAGGAATATCGAAAGGGACAAGGCTGGCGGCTTTGTTGCTATTTCAATCATGCTTCTGTAAGTATAACTTACTGTTTTCCTAGTTTTTATTAACTTTGGCGTTCATTTCTTTAACCAAATGCATAGATAGTTGCTTGAAAATGCATGTTTTGACTCTTAATCATGTGGTGATAGATTTTAATACAAATGTACTGGTTTTTCATGCTTAGCTAGCCATAATATAGTCATTGCATAATTATGAATGCTTAGAATAATCATTTCTCACATGTTATTCAAGAAAATCACATTTATCGCCTTTTAGGTGTATTATTAGAAGAGTTTTATTTGTGTATGTAAGATTTGTATCTTTGAGGAGTACGTATTTTCCATGTTAACGTTCATTAGATTGGCCAACACATTAGCTGCAGCACTATCAGTGATAACTTGCACCACATTCTCTTTTCCAACTTTCTCCACAAACTTGTCTAGTAATTCAAATAGCTTTTGCCCATCCTTTGAATAGCTAGAAGCATCAACCGACTCAACAAACATGGTTCCTCTTGGACAATTAACTAAAAAGTTAATCAATGTCCTTCCTCTCTTATCAGTCCAACCATCTGCCATTATGGAACACCCGTATTTTGCACAATCCTCTTTATGATACTTCATCAAATCTTCAGTATGTTTCACTTCTTTTTTGAGTTGGGTAACCCGCACTTCATGGTATGTCGGTGGCTTCATACCAGGACCATATTGGCCAATGGCTTCAATCATTGGTCCAAAACTCTCATAATTTACGGCATTGAAAGGGATACCAGCATCATACATCCACCTTGCAAATCTTTGCAGTGCCCGAGCTCTCATTTCTTTTTTGTAAGGGTCATTTGCATCAATTTTTGTTTGTTTCCCTTTTGCTTGGTCTCTTCGATTTTTCACCATTGATTCAGGATTGAGTGTGAAGTAAACATCCATAGGCCCTTTTCTCTTTGGCATTTTTGATTTGGATTTGGATTTAGATGAACCTTGGCTACTACTTGTTAACTTGCAGTGTTGATTGACATTGATCTCAACAACATCATCATCTTCATCCTCATCTTCCATGTCCATGTCATCAAAATCAGGCAACATGCTCATTTCTTCTTTTTGTGTCTTTTTTTTGGACTTGAACTCTCTAATCTCTTCTCTTACATGAGAAGGACACTTCGGGCAAGCAGTAACATTCCTATAACCTCCCGCAAGGTGTTGCTTCACCCGATAAACACCTCCATTTGATACTTTACCACAAAAATTACACTCAAACTTGTTTAAATTATTCTCCTCCACCAAATGGGCATATTGCCACGCCGGATCTTTTCTATTACTTTCCGATGTCATTTTCTACTTAGTACTTACTACACAACACAAAAAATAAATAACAGAAAAACAATTTCAGTATAATGAATGTAATGTATGTTATGTGATGAATTAATTAATGTATGTAGTGTATGAATCAATTTCTATTTTTTTAATTAATGATGAATTAATTAATTAATGTACATTACATTCCATTATATTCATTCCTATGTTACATTATTTTTTCAAGAAAAACTTTGACCAATTTATTAATTCATCACATTAATAAATTGATTAACTTATGAATCAATTTATCAATTAATTAATCAACCAATTTTCTATTTTTTTAATCACAACACATTAATCACAACACAATAAATTGATTAATTGATAAATTGATAAATTGATTAATCTTTATTAATTAATTAAATTCTTATTAAATTCTTATTAATCACATTAATCACAACACATACAACACATTAAATTCTTATTAATCACAACACATTAATCTTTTCTAATTAATTAATCAATTTTTTATTTTTTTAATTAACTTATGAATCAATTTATGAATTAATTAATGTTATGATTCAATGTATGTAATGTAATGAACGTATGAATTAATTAACTTATGAATCAATTTTCTATTTTTTTAATTAATGATCAATTAATTAATTTCAGTATAATGATGAATCAATTTCAATATAATCATAATGAATGTAATGTAATGTATCTATTTTTTTTTATTTCTGTATGTATGAATTAATTTATTTATTTATGTAATAATCATAATGGGTGTAATAATCATTAATGAAAAAAAAAATAAAGAAAAAGAAAGTCGAAAGAAGAAGAAAATTAATAATTGAAAAGAAGAAGAAAAGGAATGGACTGAACTGAAGGAAAAAAAATAGACTCAAATAATTGAAAAAAAAAAGAAAAGGAAAAAAAAAAAAAGAAGCAAAACAAAAAAACTTGAAAAAAAAACAAAGGACTGAACTGAAAGTCGAAGGAAAAAAAATAAATAAATATGAAAGTCGAACAACCAGTGTCGAAGACGAAGAAGAAGGAGAAGGGGAGAGAGAGTCGAACCTACGAAGCCAAAGTTGATCCAGTGTCGCAGTCGAAGTCCAGCTCTTGTGTCGCAGTCGTAGTCGCAGACCAAGTCCAGCTCCAGCAGCTCGAAGTCAATTGCAAGGCGAAAGAGGGAGAGACGACTTCGATTAGGGTTAATCTGAGTCCTATTTGGCTCATATGGTACATGAGTTCTGATCCTCTGTGATTACGAGCCATTCAAAAGGTTCATCTGAGTCGAATCTGAGTCGTTAGATCAGATCTACAGATTAAACGCTCAATCGCGCCTAGGCGAGGGCCTTGCGCCTCTCTCGCCTTGCTAAAGTCGCGGCTAAGGTGCTCGCCTGGGTCAAGCCGCCTCGCCTGGTACCTGTACAGGCGCAGATGGTGCGCCTCGACTCGCCTTGTGCCTAGGCGTGCGCCTAGGCGTGACTTTGACAACACTGGTCCAACAATTTGTTTGTTAGGTTTTCTATATTTCATATTTAGCATAACACATACTCCGTGAGAGCAAGGATGGATCCAGAAGGCAGTGACCTCACTCCCAAAAATTTAGAAGAAAAAAAACCCCTCATATTATACCAGTAATTAATAAGAAAATTTTAAAATCCTATCATTTCACATTACCAAAATTATAGAGGTTCGCACCCCCAAAACTTTAGGCCTGCATCCCCCAAATTAAATATAATGACTAAATTTTAAACTAATTTTTTAAACAAGTTTTATCAAATATTAGTCTCCCCGTCCTTATTTATGTTTACTTTGGGGTATACTCTAAAGAAACTGTGAGATTCATTCCATTCAATACCAGTTACAGAGGGTTCTAGTACATTATCTACATGTGATACAATTGCTCAACCATAACTACTAACTACCTAACCTAACCATAACTACATGCATCTAACTATAGTTCTAACAAACTAACTTGTTCTGAGGAGAGTCGACTTAGGCTTCATACTGCAGGTCATACTGCAGCCTTGTCATGTGTGGCTTGTGCTGCAACTGCTGTATCTTTGGCTATGGCTGAGGTTGCAGCCTTGGCTACTACAGGCTGCGGCCGCAGCCTTGACTGCTGCTGAAGCTGCTCTGTGTCTATGCTCAGCTCAGATATCTTATCATTCCCCCTCAAACTTTGGGGACATGGAAAGACCTGAAATTTTCCTTGAAGATACTGAAACCTAGAGATTGAAAGAGGTTTAGTGAGAATATCTACAATTTGATCAATAGAAGCAATATGACAAATGACAATCTTTTTGGCGGCCATTCTTTCTTTGACATAATGATAGTCAACCTCAATGTGCGTGGTCCTAGCATGAAAAACTGGATTGTGAGCCAAAGCTATGACAGACAAATTATCACACTAAGCCAGCTTCACTCAGCAGAAACTTGAGCTAAACCTCTATATTCTGCTTCTGAGGATGATCTTGAAATTGTGGGCTGCTTTTTAGCACACCAAGAAACAAGATTCGGAGGAAGAAATACACAATGCCCTGTAGTAGATCTTCTATCAATAACATTGTTAGCCCAATCCGAATCTGAGAAAGTATTAAGAACAAGAGGACCATTGGTAAAATGAAGGCCACGACTCAACGTTACATTGAGATATCTGAGAAATCTCTTAACTGTTGTAAAATGACTTTGCAAAGGATTTTACAAAAATTGACAAAGATGATTAACAGTAAAACTAAGATCTGGCGTAGTGATGGTTAGATATTGAAGAGCTCCCACTAAACTTCTATAAAGACTAGGCTGAGAGAAAGGAGGATCATCAACAACAGAGTTAGCAACCTTAGTAGCCATGGGAGAAGCATAGGACTTACAATCACTCATACCAGCCTTTGCTAAGATTTCTAAGGCATACTTTTGCTGAGACAAAACATAGCCTGAAGAAGAAGAAGAGACAGAGATGCCCATAAAATAATTGAGAAATCCGAACTCTTTCATAGAGAAAGCAAAATGCATTTGTTGAATAAGAGTGGGCATATAAAGAGGATCACTACCAGTGAGAAGAATATCATCAACATAGACAAGAAGAATGGTAATGGAAGTAGGAGTTTTCTTGACAAATAAAGAGGAATCACAATGACTAGGAATAAAGTCATGAGATAGAAAAAAAGAGGAGAATGTAGAGAACCAAGCTCTTGGAGCTTGCTTCAAGCCATAGAGAGTTTTGTGAAGTTTACAAACAAGAGATGGATTAGAAGTATCAATGAAACCTTGGGGTTTCTGCATATAGACTTCTTATTCAAGCATTCCATGAAGAAAGGCATTTGAAATGTCAAGTTGCTTAATAGACCAATGATGATGTAGAGCAAGACATAGAAGCACCCTAATTGTAGGTTGTTTAGCTATAGGACTAAAGGTTTTATGATAGTCCACCCTTTTAGTTTGAAGAAAACCCTGAGCAACTAATCTTGCTTTATGCCTAGCTACAGAACCATCTGAGTTTCTCTTAAGTCTAAACACCCATTTGCAGCCAATGTCTTGCTTGGTGGGTGGAGGTGGAACTAAAGACCAAGTACCTTGTCTTTGCAAGGCTTGATATTCATCAACCATAGCAGCTTGCCAAGCAGGAGAAGTAGATACTTCCTGATAAGACTGAGGTTCAACATGATCAGTAGAAGCCAACAAACAAGTAGAAGAAGACACAAGAGGAAGTTTGGCCTTGTATATGGTTACCATGGAACGAGAATTTGAAGAGGACATATGAGGAAGATCTATAAAAAGAGAAGAAATTGGAATTTGAGGTGAAGAAGAAGAAATAGGGACATGTGAAGGAACAGGAGGTAAGCCAGGAGAGATAGCAGATGCAGGTGCTGCAAGTGCAGAAGCTGCAGACGCAAGTGGAGCAGGTGTAGGGGAGATGGGTGTTACTGGAGCAGAAAAAGGAGAAGGCACAGGAGATGTAGACCAGAAAAAATTGTGTAAGGTAGTGAGATGAGATAAAGTAGAGAAAGATGGAAGCTGATGCGGAAGAAGAGAACGATGAAGACTAAAAAGGTCTCACAACATCTGAGTTTCTCTTAAGTCTAAATACCCATTTGCAGCCAATGTCTTGCTTGGTGGGCGGAGGTGGAACTAAAGACCAAGTACCTTGTCTTTGCAAGGCTTGATATTCATCAAGCATAGCAGCTTGCCAAGCAGGAGAAGTCGATACTTGTTGATAAGACTGAGGTTCAACATGATCAGTAGAAGCCAACAAACAAGTAGAAGAAGACACAAGAGGAAGTTTGGCCTTGTATATGGTTACCATGGAACGAGAATTTGAAAAGGAAATATGAGGAAGATCTATAAAAAGAGAAGAAATTGGAATTTGAGGTGAAGAAGAAGAAATAGGGACATGTGAAGGAACAGGAGGTAAGCCAGGAGAGACAGCAGATGCAGGTGCAGCAAGTGTAGAAGCTGCAGACGCAAGTGGAGCAGGTGTAGGGGAGACGGGTGCTACTGGAGCAGAAAAAGGAGAAGGCACAGGAGATGTAGACCAGAAAAAATTGTGTAAGGTAGTGAGATGAGATGAAGTAGAGAAAGATGGAGCTGATGAGGAAGAAGAGAACGATGAAGACTAAAAAGGTCTCACAAAAAACATGGCGAGATTCATAGACTTTGTTGGTACTTGGGTCAATATATCTATAGCTTTTAACAGAGGGTTGATACCCTATAAACACACATGGAACAGATCTAAGCTGAAGTTTAAGGAAGTTGTAAGGTTTAAGCGAAGGATAACACCTGCAGCCAAAAGTTTTCAAGAACTGATAATCAGGTTTTTGATGAAACAAAACCTCAAAGGGAGTACTGAGTGTATGCAATCTATTGATTAAAAACACAGAGGTGGCAAGAGCATTGAACTAATAAACCAAAGGCAATGAAGATTGATACATAAGAGTAATAGTAGTCTCAATATTCACTCCCAATTGTCACTTCTTAGAACTTGTAACTTGGTAGTGAATTGTGTTTCAACAAAAGATTTAAATTCC